CTTCGCTGCCGGCTGGGATGAGCTGGGAGCAACCAATGAGCTGGAAGACACATTCGCCCTCTCTGCCATGAGCTCATTGGAAGAGGCCGTGACTCAGGTCACGCAGTTCTTGGGCATGCATCCTTGCGACCGCTCCGACCGCATTCCTGAAGGCAAGAGTGCCCACACCTTATATCTTGCAGGTAAGACAGTCCTTCTTAGTTCTGTACATATAGACTTTGTCCTTCTTTTCCTTTATACACAAATCTGCATTGATCATTGTATAATCATGCTATTTTGAACACAATCTCAACCATTAGTTTTTTTTGTCCCGAAAAGGTACCTATCGCGGTGGCCATGAAGTGCTGGTGAGAGCTAAGCTAGCGCTCTCGGATGGTGTGACGATGCAGCTGACGGTGCGATCAGATGACCCGGGAGTTTCCGAAGTCATCGCCTCTGCCGTTGGTTAAGCTTCATCATCACCACTTGAGGAAATTAATGATCAAATCATAGACAGGCACAAGCTTATGGAGAAGTGAAACATTATTGAAATCCATCAGAAGTTCTGTTATTTTGCATTTTAGTTGAATGTTAAGCTTGGATATGTTATGAGAGATATATATTTGAATTTATTATTTTAGTAAGTTATGGTATGGTAAATCTCTGTCCTTTACTCATATCACTTTTAATGTATTTTGTTATGTAACAAGGAAGTGAACCAGTGACCGTAATAAAGTTATTTGAACCACTTTATATCTTGGATTCATTGCTACAGATCTCCTTCACATTCATACAACCTACTCTGAAAACTGGAATGACTCTTTACCTTTACTTCAGAAATAAGCCTCTGATCTCTAAATCTTCGAGAGCCTTATACCTTCATATTTTACTCCTCTAAGATTATGAAATACTCTGTATCCTGTATTTATCTAAAGCTGTGAGAACAAATTATTTAGCATGTTCACAGTTTTAAGAAAGGACGTTTTAAGACCCTTTAGTTTTGAATGAACCAAGAAATAGACCTAAGTAACTGCTTTTGTGTAAAGGAAAGTAGTCCCAAATACTTATAGCAGTTATGTGAAGAGGTGCTCGAAAGAGAATTCTAATTGCTTTATTTTGTATATTTTCTGAATGGGGAACAGTCCCTCAGTCCCTCTGGAAATCCACAAACATTGCCTTACTGACAAAACCAAAAGAAAACTTACCTGGGGGCTTTGCCCCAAAGCTCCACCCTATCGCTATATTTTGTATACGCCAATAATTGCCTTTGATGTTGATGCAGCAGAAAAATCTCAATAAGTAAATTAAAACCCAAAGGGCCCCACGTTTAAAATGACAGCCACTTTCCAAAACCAAGATCCTTCGAAAGAAAGATCCGTCCTATCCCTTGCGAAGGAACTTGTGACATAAAGTTGGATTGTCGGTGTCTAGGAAATTGGCAAGAATTACAGTAGACAGCTATGCATCCCAAACTCAACCCTCAGAAGCTGAAGAGGCTCATTTTAATCGCCAACCCACCCCTTCTTCAATACCTTCCACTGGCAGTCTTCGAGTGATAGATCTCTTTCTTAGACAAAGATGTAAATATCTGTCTCCGTAAACAGTAGTGGGCGAGTATCTTCAACTTATAATGATGTATTGTAAAGGCATGTGTAGCCATTTAACAGTCAAAATCATGTGGCTAAGTTTCCTTTGCTGTAAAGTTACATGCCATTTCTCTTAGTACCTGATAACATTAAGTGTTTATAGTTCATGACTTACTTTGGAGCTTTTCATGCAGGTAGATCTGAGACTCGATTACAGAAGTATTGTAAAGATAATACAGCATAATCTGTGGGGTGCAGAGTGAGCGAATATCTGGATGGATTCCAACTCACACTGGGTTATGGTGTTGATTCCTTACCGAAAAATACCTTTACACCTGCTAAACTACATATTAGTTACCGAGTCTCTTGCTAGTCCTATGAATAAACCAAAAGCAATTCATTAATATTCTCTAAGCGAAAAGAACGTATAAGAATCAGACAATGCAAATGGTGAGGGGCTTAGAGGCAGAAACAAAGCTAATGTAGGGATCACCTCTACCTTGGACCTCAGTCCTCGCCTCAACTAATTGTGCTTGGTCTCTTTTTCTCTTCCTTTCGTTTTCCTTCTCTTCATCATACTGTGTGACCTTTGATGTCTGGCACATCTGCTTGTCTTGATCAGTGACCTTTATGGAAATCCACAAACATCGCCTTGTGAATAAAAAACTTTTTTTAGTCGCCCCTCCTTATCGCTATATTTTAAATACGCCTCTTTATGCCCTTAGATGTTGACGCGGCAATTTTTGTTTTCAGTAAATGAATAGATAATGTAAATGGTGGAACATTTCCAAATTGCTATTTGTGTGTTGAAGATACAAAACAAATGCTTTCTCAGTATATAAGTGAATGTAATACAATGCGAGACTCCTAATTTCCTGTGGTGTATTTCGGTCTATTTCGAAGTTTCCAATACAAGGCACTTTCATACTTTACCCCAACTTTACATGCTATTTATAATGAACAAAAGCGTATTTTATCAAATATATTTAGCAAAATTGCATAGGCCAGTGTAGCCAGTGAACACTGCAAAGGTAGCCATTCCTTGTGGTTGTAAAGAAGATTGACGGTGCGGTAAAAAAATGTTCAATAAAAATAATGAAATGAAGAGTGTGGATAGAAAAATGAGAAAGGGCCAAGAAAAAGGGAAGAAATATTTTCCACTTAAGATCAATACGATAGAAAGAATAACAGCTGATGGAAGGTATCTGGAATAGCATAAAATCAGTACAATATTAATGGAGAGGCATGATACGGAATAAGTGTAATTATACTTCTGAAAAAAGTCCTTTTGTGCAGGGGCAATAAAGTAAGCAAAGAAGTTTAACCCAATATACTACTTACATATGCGCCAAGGCTTTCTCGTGTTCTTAACTTGCAATTGCGCCTATATCGGTGTCACCAGCTCAGACGCACTTTTATATTTTTGTATTTTTATCATCTCTGGCTTTTTCATCCTTGAGAGTTTAACTAACCGCTATTGGTCTTCGCAGTTTAGGAATTGAACCTAATCCGTACTCACTTCACTTCAACCAAACCCAACCTAACCTCACTTTATCTAACCTAATCTAATTTCACCTAATCAAACTTAATCTAACTTAACCTAGCTTTACTCCACCTAGCCTACCCTCACCTCAAACTCACCTCGCTTCACCTAACCTGATCTAATCTTAAACTTAACCTCACCTCAGTTTACTATTCGAGCCTAACCTAACTTTACCCTATTTCACCTAACCTAACTTAACCAAATCTAACCTCACCTAACCTTAAACTTCCAATACCTCAGTCCGTTTTGATTATGTTAAGTAAGGTTTACAAGTCAGTCCTTGTACCTCATATCAAGCTTTAAGTCAGACGAAGTGAAGTTAGGTAAGGTTAGGTTAGGATAATGTAACCTAATCTAACCTCAACTAACTATATCTAAACTAACTCACTGGGTTAGATAAGAACCATCACTTTTTACAAGAAAACGTAAAAACATGGTTATTCGATTGACTAAACTCTACGGGATGCCAACCCACATTCCACTATGTTTTCCCTTGTACAGATTTGTTTATTTTACTGAAAAGAGATAAGAAGCATAGATATTTTAATGAAGATAATTTTTAGATCACTAGAAAGACACCAAGTAATCAGTACTAAATTGCACGAGGATAAAGAAAATCTACGGGTTTTAACCGGCCCAATGAGTCTGCAGGTTGATAATTTAAATATCATCAACTTACCAATCAGTTAAGCCCATTTACGAGTTTGTGTAATCTGCTTGAAATATTGCGTAGACTGTTTTGGATAGGAATATATTTGAAGAAAAAGTGTTAAGAAGAAAATATATATGTATATATTGAAACTTACAAAAGCAATTGATGTACTTGGGTAATAAAACTTAACGGGTTTCGTTTCCACATTCCACTATCTTCTCATACTCGATAATAATTCACATGATCTACCAGGCTTGAAGCATAGCATATAAAGTGTAAATCTCTTTAAAAAGGATCAAGAAAAAAACATGAATATACTTTGATCCCGAAAATCTGCAACTTTTTTATTTATTTTTTTCTTTTCTTTGTATTCTCTTTCTATAATCATTTATCTGTTCTGTCGAATGTACTCTGTAGAGAATGAACATGACGCACAGGTAGGTACATACACTCAAACATACAAAAAGAGAGGTAAGATAAGGCAAAGACATTACAAAAATTATATAGAAGGTTCTCAAAATACACCTTTATCACAATCTTCAGTGTTAATTGCCATGTCTCAGTATACTCTTCTGATGAATTATTATCTGTCTGTGGAAAAATGAGAGAGCATATTTAAACAAAACAGGTATGCAGTCCTTCAACATGTCTAAAATCTGAATTTAAAAAAAAATAGGTTACATATAATCGAAGAACTCAGCAATCTGACGTGAATCTTACAAAAAACCTGACCTGGGATATCAGTAATCATAGATGGTAATAAAGATGTGTTGTTTCTATAATAACCTGTGGTGTCTTCATCTTCCATGTATCAAAACTGCCTTGTTAATCATCCTTATTCCCAGCAAGACAAACTTCAGGGATCTGTCTGACCTCTATCCCGATACGATAAAGCTACAAAATGAAGGGTTTGATGAAAATCCCTTTTATCAACATGATGGTGAATTGAATGCGTTGAATTTTACTGGAATAGTCTTTTATCATTCTGTTACATTTCAGTTTAAGCGTTGATAGAACCTAAATTTTATTATTAATCAAAGAGGTTAGTGTATCATCTTTTAAGACTGAGCAGATTAAGTTCAGTATAAAATTGAGTAGTCTAAACATCTCGTGTAGTATGCATAGTTTATCCAAAATGTACAAGTAGACAGAACGAGGCACTGGATGTACACACTTTCTCGCATTATCAAATAGCAAGATGCATTATCCACCATCCAGGGGACAGGAATCAAACACACAATGCAGAATCCTTTTATTTATTGTGAATATACAAAAAAGTAATTAACATATCATCTGCCTTTTCTGTGATACCCAAAGTATTCTCATTAATCACTCAAAACTTTCCCTGATCACATACACTTAGTGGTATAGTGAAAGGAGGAATATATCGTATTTTCATAGTCCTAAACTCATGGCTGAGAATTTAATGCAGTAGCTTTTATCCACATGACGTACCTGTTGCAAAGAGACATGAAACTGTTTATACTTCACACTGTTAGAATTCTCTTGACGTAATAATATTCAGTCCAAAAAATGCCTATTAAAATATTGTTGGCTGCCATGTGACCAACAGCGTAAAGACAACTGCCAGCGCATAAGGCATTCCTTTCTCTTCGAATTTCCTTAGCACTGGCTGGGTAAATGACCGTGCCTGTGACTCTGGATTCGAATAACTAATAATAACTGATAGTTAGGCTTTAGATAATCTAAATCGATTGAATATTTTGTTTGTGTATCATGACATACAAAAAAAAACTGATTCGTGATATTGCTCCACCTAAATAATCACATTATTTTCATAATACAAGGTAATTGTAAAGCATGGTTATTCATTTTCTTAAACAGTGAATAATTACAAGTATATAACAAAAGATGAAGAGATTTTAACATCTGATTCTTACCTTAGGATCCGATCTAAATATACCAGCTAGCATTGCAGCAAAACGTCTGGCAAAATAAGTAATTTGTTAATATATAAAAGTGACATAATATATATAGTTTCTCATACTACAAAAAAGACTCAGAATCTCTATCAACTGTCGCTTGTCCGGTGACCAGAGGCGTAAAGACAACCGCCAGCGCATAAGACTTGCATTTCTCTTCGAATTCCATTAGCACTGCCTGAGTAAAAGGGACCCCGACTGTGACTTGGGATTCGAATAACCTAAGAGTTTTGAAAAGTATCGTAGTCACTCTTTTCTTCTTCTGAATATCATGCTTTTTAAAAATGCAAGGGTTTATAACTTTCCAATACGTAAATACTGGATATACAAGGTAACTATACAACAGGATATTTACTTTCTTGAGACAAAGATTAATAAGATATAGGTTGATAGATGAAGCTTACCTCAATGGCCGACCAAGACATGCCGCTCGTTGATCCGAAAAACACCTGACAACATAAGTTCTTGTTAGGATCCAAATATAACATACATACGGTTCCTAGTACTACAAAAAAAGTCAGAATCTCTATCAAATGTCGCTTGTCCGGTGACCAACGGCGTAAAGACAACCGCCAGCGCATAAGACTTGCATTTCTCTTCGAATTCCCTCAGCACCGGCTCGGTACAGAACCTCGCCGGTGATTTAGGATTCGAATAATTTCAGATTTTAAAAAACAGAACCATGGTCACTTTTTTGTTCTTCTAAATATCATGATCTAAAGAGAAAGATCCAAAGACATGTGACTTTCCAATATGTAAATACTGGATGTACAAAAGCAAATACAAGAAAGGATATTTCATTTATTTCATTTCTTCAAAACAAAGATTAATATGAAAGGTTGACAGCAAGAGATGAAGAGAATTCCACACTTGAACCTTACCTCAAAAGCCGCCCAAGACAGACCACCCGTTGATCCGCAAAACACCTAACAAAATAAATCCCCGTTAATATCCAAATATAACAAACATACGGTTCCAAATACTACAAAAAGACAGAATATCTATCAAATGTCGCTTGTCCGGTGACCAACGGCGTAAAGACAACCGCCAGCGCATAAGACTTGCATTTCTCTACGAATTTCCTCAGCACCGGCTGGGTAAAAGGACCCCGACTGTGACTTGGGATTCGAGCTAGCGATGTTAAAAATAAATATATTTCAAATACATCATATAGTTTCTCTTCAAGACTTAAAGGTGATTCTACTCTATAACTATGCGTAAATAATTTGTATAAAATGTTACTGGCTCCTCTACATATTGCCAATAATACAAACACCTAAAAACACGAAATGAGAAATTCACAATATACCCACACTTATCGAGTCTTACCTTAATAGCCTCTCGATAAGTAGCATTCTGGACTACAG